TGTTGACCAGGATGGTCTCGATCTCTTGACCTCGTGATCCATCCGCCTCAGCCTCCCAAAGTGCTGGGATTACAGGCTTGAGCCACCGCGCCCGGCCCCTCCAGCTAATTTTTGTAGAGACAGGGTTTCACTGTGTTGCCTGGGCAGGTCTTGAACTCGTGAACTCAAATGATCACTCGCTTTGGCCTCCCAAAGTGCTGGGATTACAGGCATGAGCCATTGCACTTGGCCTATGTATGTGCTTTAAAAAAAAAATCTGGTATTGGCTGGGGGTGGTGGCTGATGCTTTTAATCCCAGCACTTTGGGAGGTTGAGGTGGTGGGATCACAAGGTCAGGAGTTTGAGACCAGTCTGACCAACATGTTGAAACCTCATCTCAACTAAAAATACAAAAATTAGCCAGCCATGGTGCGTGCCTGTTTGGCATGCTATTTGGGAGCTATTTGGCAGCTATTTGGGAGGCTGAGGCAGGGGAATGGCTTGAATCCGGGAGGTGGAGGTCACAGGGAGCCAAGACTGCATCACTGCACTCCAATCTGGGTGACAGAGAAAGACTCCATCTCCAAAAAAAGAAAAAAAAAAAATTGTATTGTGCTTACTTCAGCAGCACATACACTAAAATCGGAATAATACAGAGAAGATTAGCATGGCCCCTGTGCAAAGATGACTGTTGTTTGTTTGTTTGTTTGTTTGTTTGTTTAGTAGAGATAGGGTTTCGCTATGTTGGCTGGTCTCAAACTCCTGACCTCAAGTGAAGGGATGGCAATTTTAAAATTAAAAAGTTAAAAAATAGTAACAAAGTGGCCAGGGGTGGTAGCTCACGCCTCTAATTTCAGCATTTTGGGAGGCTGAGGCGGGTGGATCACCTGAGGTCAGGAGTTTGAGACCAGCCTGGCCAACATGGCAAAACCTCGTCTCTACTAAAAATACGATAATTAGCCGGGCATGGTGGCGCATGTCTATAATCCCAGCTTCTTCAGAGGCTGAGGCAGGAAAATCATTTGAACCTGGGTGACAGAGGTTGCAGTGAGCCAAGACCTCTCCACTGCACTCCAGCCTGGACAACAGAGCAAGACTCCATCTCAAAAATGAAAAAATAAAAAAAAAATAGTGCTGATAAACAAGTGAGTAGGGCCGGGCGCGGTGGCTCAAGCCTGTAATCCCAGCACTTTGGGAGGCCGAGACGGGTGGATCACGAGGTCAAGAGATTGAGACCATCCTGGTCAACATGGTGAAACACCGTCTCTACTAAAAATACAAAAAATTAGCTGGGCATGGTGGCGCGTGCCTGTAATCCCAGCTACTCAGGAGGCTGAGGCAGGAGAATTACCTGAACCCAGGAGGCGGAGGTTGCGNTTTTTTTAGGGGAAGGATTTGGTGTGAAGAATTTTAAATGTAACATTGTTTTAAAATTACCTCGTTGGCATTTTGTAAATATAAATATTTCTGCAAATACCTACTGTGACATTGTAACAATAATATCAATGACTAAGAATTCATATATGTTTATGTCAAGGAATATATTTAATTTTTTGGTTTGTTTTAGATTCTGGAACTGAAGACATGCTTTGGACAGAAAAGTATCAACCTCAGACTGCAAGTGAACTCATAGGAAATGAGTTAGCTATAAAAAAGTTACATAGGTTGGTAAAATTTGTAAAGGAATTGAGAAATAGTTTACAAACTTAGTTTTACTATTTTTATTTTGAAATTATAGTTTTAAAGTAATATATGTTAAAAAATCTTTTAAAAATGGGTAGAATTTTAAGTGAAAAGTAGCTTTCTTTTCTTACATTTCTACTCGTCAGAAATAATCATTTAAATTTCTTGTAAAATCTTCCAGAAAAATATTTTATGCGTATGTTAGTTCTTCCTTTCTAACAAATGGGATCACATTATTATTAATTCAGGTCCCTGGTACTTGGTCTTCAATTCTCACATCCAAAAAATTCTGAACATTTTTAAATACAAATATTAAGTGATGGCTGGGTGCGGTGGCTCACACCTGTAATCCCAGCACTTTGGGAGGTCAAGGCAGGCCGATCACTTGAGGCTAGGAGTTCCAGACCAGCCTGGCCAACATGGCGAAACCCTGTCTCTACTAAAAATACAAAAATTAGCTGGGCATGATGATGCATGCCTGTAATCCTAGCTACCCCAGAGGCTGAGGCATGAGAATCACTTGAACCCAGATAGCAAAGGTTGCAGTGAGCTGAGATTGTGCCAGTGCACTCCAGCCTGGGCTAGAGTGATACTCTGTCTCAAAAAAATAATCAAACCAAAACAACTTAAGTGATTGTGGATGTACTGCCTATACCCTATTAGGAGTATTATGTCATATGCATTATATGTACCAAATAACCTTTTACGTATCTGAAAAATTATGAATTCTAAAACAATCTGGCCCAAAGGATTTCATATAAGGACTTATGGACCCATAATTAATTGCATGAAGTTGGTACTGTTCTAAGCACTTGTATTACTCTCTCTTTTTTTTTTGAAAGATGGGGTTTCGGGCCGGGCGCGGTGGCTCAAGCCTGTAATCCCAGCACTGTGGGAGGCCGAGGCGGGTGGATCACGAGGACAAGAGATCGAGACCATCCTGGTCAACATGATGAAACCCCGTCTCTACTAAAACTACAAAAAATTAGCTGGGCATGGTGGCGCGTGCCTGTAATCCCAGCTACTCAGGAGGCTGAGGCAGGAGAATTGCCCGAACCCAGGAGGCGGAGGTTGCGGTGAGCCGAGATCGCGCCATTGCACTCCAGCCTGGGTAACAAGAGCGAAACTCTGTCTCGAAAAAAAATAATAAAAAATAAAAAAAATAAAGATGGGGTTTCACCATGATGGCCGGGCTGGTCTTGAACGCCTGATCTCAGGTGATCCACCCACCTCGGCCTCCCAAAGTGCTAGGATTACAGGCGTGAGCCACCGCGCCCGGCCACTTGTATTATTCTTAATTCATTTTATCCTTAGAACAATACTCTGAGCAGTAGGGTACAGTGGTTCATGCCTGTAATCTCTGCTTTGGTAGGCTGAGGCAGGAGGATTGCTTGTGGCTGCGAGTTTAAGAGCAGCCTGGGCAACATAGGGAGACCCCATCTCTACAAAAAATTAAAAAAAATAGTTGGGCATGGTGGCATGCACCTGGTTTCTGAGCTATTCAGGAGACTGGGAGGATCACATGAGTCCAAGAATTCGAGGCTGCAGTGAGCTATGATTGTACCCTTACACTCCAGTGACAAAGCAAGACTATCTTAAAAAAAAAAACAACTATGAGCATAAATTCTGTTCTCATCTCATAGATGAAGAAAGCAAGGCCTAGAGAAGCTGAGTTATTTGTCCAAGGGGTCACACAGGTAGAAAGTGATGAAACTGGGGTTTAAACTCAGGCATTCTAGTTCCAGATTAGAATTTAATCTTTCTATTGTACATTGTATATTAGGCATCTTTCATGTAATTACACAATATACCGCAGTTCTTTTGTGTGTATGTGAGAGACAGGGTCTTGCTCTGTTGCCCAGGCTGGAGTGCAATGTTGCAATCTCGGCTCACTGCAACCTTCACCTCCCATACTCAAGCCATCCTCCTATCTGAGCCTCCCAAGTAGCTGGAACTACAGGCATGTACCACCATGCCTTGCTAATGTTTGTATTATTTGTAGAGACAGGTTTCGCTGTGTTGCCCGGGCTGGTCTCAAACTCCTGGGCTCAAGCATTCCACCTGCCTCTGCCTCCCAAAGTGCTGGGATTACAGGCCTGAGCCACTGTGCCTGCCCTGCTACCTCAGTTCTTTTTAATTGCTGTGTACTGGTTTCTAAGTGAGTGTACTATACTGTATCTTTTTCCCCACTGGTATACTTTTATGTTTTTCCTGTTAGAGGCTAATATAAACAATACTGCAGTGAATATTCTTGCACATATAGTCTTGTATATTTTGGCAGAAACTACTTCATTTAAAAATGTTCCTGTCTGTGTAAAAATATTTTACTCTTTAGTTGATTTATAGGCACTATGGATTGCTTAGACAACCATATGCCATAACTTTCCCCAATAATCATTTTAACAGAAAGTCTAAGAGATCGCTATATTCTGTGAATTATTTTTATTACATTTTCTTGTGGCAGTTGGTTGAAAGACTGGAAAAGAAGAGCTGAATTGGAAGAAAGACAAAATCTGAAGGGAAAAAGAGATGAGAAACAGGAAGGTATTTTGTGTCATTTTTTTTTCACTGTTTCACTGAACATTTTTAGAGTTAGATTAACTAAAACTTTCTATAAAATTTCTTAATTGGTATTTTATATTTGATTTTCTACTTTTTATAAATTCATTTTTCAGAATTTATTGCAAGAAATTTGTGGGATTTGATCATTGGGTTTCATAAAGTAGAATTGCTTCCTCAGCAATTATTTTATTTGCAATTGAATAATTTTTCAGATGTCTTGGACAGCATAGACTTCAAAGGCAGTTCAGATGATGAAGAGAGCTGTCTTTGCAATACTGTCCTTATATCAGGGCCAACAGGAGTGGGAAAAACTGCTGCAGTGTATGCTTGCGCCCAGGAGCTTGGGTTTAAGGTTAGTAACAGCTATGACGGGAGAATGTTAACAGAATAACTACCGTTGGATTAAAAGGAAACATAAACCATTCCCCCTTTGTTTTTTCTTATATTCTTCTTTTAGATATTTGAAGTCAATGCCTCTTCCCAGCGCAGTGGTAGACAAATTCTATCTCAATTGAAGGAAGCTACTCAGTCCCATCAAGTAGACAAACAAGGTGTAAACTCACAAAAACCCTGTTTTTTTAATAGCTACAACATAGGCAAGTCACCAAGTAAGTAAATTATTTTCCTTAAGCCATAACGTTTTGAAAAAAATAAAATCTAAGAAAATAATGTTAATTATCAGCATTTTGCCACTTATTTTTTATCTTCTACATATATGCATGTTCCCTGCCCACCCCACCAGACTATTTTAAAACAAATCTGAAGACCATCATATCATTTTACCCATACATTCTTCAATATTTATTTCTATCTGATAAGGACTTTTAAAAAAGCCTAACTATAATATCAGACTCAGACCCAGCAGAATTAACAACCAGCCTAAGCAGCACAGGGAGACCTTGTTTCTAAAAAAAAAAAAAAAAATTAGCTGGGTCTGGTGGTGTGTGCCTTTAGTCCCAGCTACTCTGGAAGTTGAGATGGGAGGATCACTTGAGCCTGGAAGGTTGAGGCTGCAGTGAGCTGTGACTGGACCACTGGACGCCAGCCTGGGTGACAGAGTGAGACCCTGTCTCCAAAAAAAAAAAAAATCTATTAACTATATTTGTTCGTATCATCTAATATACAGTCTGACGTCAGTTTTTTATTGTTTCAAATTATTTGTTCAAATCTGGATCCAAAGTTCATATCTTATATTTTATTTATGTCTCTTAACTTTCTTTTAATCTCACTAACAGTTCACTCACCTTTCTTTTCATGTCATTTATTTGTTGAAGAATCTGAGTCATTTGTCATCAAATTTTTCACATTCTGGATTTGTCTGCTGATTATATCTTCTTGGTATCAGTTAACGCATTTCTCTTCCCTATATTTCTTGTAAACTAGCAGTGGATCTATGGGCTTGATTAGATTCAGGTTCTGTTCTGGGTCTGGCATACATGTATAGGTGGGTTGTGTATTTCCTATGACATTATAGCAGATTATCCATTGTAGATTACAAAATGATAATTTTATAATTCTCTTTTTTGCATTTATTAGAATTTTAAGAAGAAACACTATTCCTTAACTCTTTGGATGCTTTGAAATACAGTTTGTAGGCACCAGAAATGCTTCATTCTTTCCTTTATTAGTTCTTAGAGTAATGGTGTCCTAGCAGCCTTGATAGTGAGTTTTTGTGTAGTTTAATTTTTTAAGTGTTATTATGAACTCATGGATTTTTATATACATATAATATGTTTCAACTCTTTGTGTTTATTATTTGTTTGTTGCTTTGAAGGTTTTCTCACTGGTTTTAAGTAATTTGATTATGATATGCCTTGGTGTACTTTTCGTCATGTTTCTTGTGCTTGGGATTTGTTGAGTTTCTTGCATATATGTTTATAGTTGGGAAGATCAAAATTGATAAATTTCGACCAGTATTTCTTGAAATTTTCTTCTGTACTCCCCATTTCCTTTGGCAGCTCCAGTTATTATAGGTATTTTAGACCACTTGAAATGGTGTCCTGGCACACTGATGCTTTGTTCAGTTTTTCAGTCTTTTTCCTCTTTTTGTTTCAGTTTGGTTATTACTATTTATTCAAGTTTATATATCTTTTCTTCTGTAGTATCTAGTATGCTGTCACTGGTATAAGTGTAGTTTTCATTTCTAGAAGTTTGATTTGGGTCCTTTTTATATCTTCTGTTTTTCTACTTACCATGTGCCCAGACATTCCTCTAGGTTTTTGAACATATGCAATACAGTTACAACAACTGTTTTAGTGGTCTTGGCTACTGATTCTCATCATCCGTGTCCTTACTTCCTTCCTTCCTTTCTTTTCTTTCTTTTCTCTCTTTCTTGATGTAGTCTCGCTCTTGGTGCCCAGGCTGGAATGCAGGTGCGATCTCTGTTCACTGCAACCTCCACCTCCTGGGTTCAAGCAGTTCTCCTGCCACAGCCTCCCAATTAGCTGGGATTACAGGCATGTGCCACCATGCTCAGCTAATTTTGTATTTTTATTAGAGATGGGGTTTCTCCATGTCAGCCAGGCTGGTCTCAAACTCCTGAACACAGGTGATCCACCCACCTTGGCCTCCCAAAGTGTTGGGATTACTGGTGTGAACCACTGCGCCTGGCCCATCTGTGTCATTTCTGAGTTGGCTTTTCAATTGATTGATTATTCCCTGTCTCATTATGAATTGTATTTTTCTGCTTCTTTGGATGCTTTCTTTGGATAATTTTGATTGCATGTCAGACTTTATACAGTTTACCTTCTTGTGTGCTGGATATTTATGTATTCCTATGACTGTTTTTTTTTTTTTTTTT